TGGGCCATTGTATAGCACATAATTAGCTCTATATTTAACCGAAAAATGAAATCAATCGAACTGCTTGGTCCTGAAATATAAGCATTTAAAGAGAGTTTCGTTACGTGACAAAAAATGGAAGTTGATTTTTTCTTTTCTTACAAAATCGCAAAACTCTGCGAATTGTGGATGGCTATTTTCATGAAACTTAGTTTAATATGATTTGGAGCAATTCTAGTTGTTTTTAGAGTTTTTTGAATTAATGCAAATTGTTTCAATTCTCTTTTACAACCCCAAGTGGCGTCAATTTATTAGAAATCTATGATTTATTATGTTTCAACCACATACGCCAAATTCGAACCAAATCGGACCATAAATACGGTTTTTCGAAATATCTCGACCTTGGCACCACCTAGGAAGACCATTTTATGCAAACATGATTCTACTTACATAGCCAGTATATATTTTAAAAAGCAGACAAATCGGCCCGTCAATACGTTAGATATAAAACTTTAATTTTTTTTTTCGTGGTGGACCTTCCGCTGGAAACACCCATATACGATACTCGCTAAATATTCCCTAAAATATTTTAGAGAACATTTGCGTAATATTTTATTCCGAAAGAAAAAAATTACATTTATCTTCAGTCCCTAGTCGAGTCTAGATTTATTTTTTCCCGATTAAGTTTAAATTTAATGTGTGATTTTCTTTATTACCTCAGCTAAGAGATGGAGGGATCTTCATGACAAACAATTAAAAATAATCGGCGGTTATGAGAAGCAATTATTGTCGTATGTATGCACATAAGTATATGTATTCCAATGTATATATAAGATATAAACCTGAAGATTACAAGAACTTTTTACTTTCAGCTTATACAAAATATAATAGATATGCAAATGTATATACATATGTATGTATGTATATGCTCACGTTTAATTTGAATGAAAATAATTTTTTGATCTTGAAATAATCGCCGACAGGTGCCGCGTGCCTCATTGACCAATTAATTTGAATTGTTTACATTTCGTCTACGATTCGAAATAACAAACACACAATAAATTAGAAAGTAAAATAAAAAGAAAAGGCTAAAATTACATACATATGTACATATGTATGTTACATACATACATACACACGTAGGCACAGATACCTATGTATGAATGCATACAATTTTATGCACATTCATAAATATTTCGCAACTTAACTTTGCAAAGTTCTTTTAAATATTTGGGGGCATCTTGTTTCCAACACTTACCGTATATCGTGCTTCAAGGATCACCGAGTCTTTCTTCGCGAAATCCTGCCTATTTCTCAGCATGGTTTGTTCGTGCAAATTTTGTATATTCATTTTGCTAAGTATATCTGTGCCCCTATTTATCTATTTATTTTGTAAATGCCAATATCAGGGCGATTTGTTTTGCTTTCGTGTTTCTAAATTTGTTTCTGCTTTTCCTATTCTCTTATTGTATTACCGCCACCAACTGCCAAAATCACTTAACCACAGCGCTCAAAAAGACGAAAATATTCCTGAAATTATGTTTTTCTTTGTAATATTTGTTTATTTATTTTATATTTAAGCGATTAACATTGGTATGTACAAGTTAAAAAATCGACTGTCACATAAATTCACGCGCGAACGCACTGTGCACGCTTATACCGGCACTTAATTACTCTCTGGCCACTGGTTTATTGTGGCTTATCGTAACAGTTTTTGTTTGTCCTTTTAATATAGAAATTTTATTTAAATTTATTTTCTTTTCTTGTTGGCTACGTTGACCTCAAGTATTATCAACAGAATTTTAAATTGTAAATTGATTTGACTCGACTCCCGGTAATTTGTGTACTCGGTTCACTGACAATGATCTACGACTGGGCTAATGTGTGCGGCTGGCAGTTTTATATTCGTTTAGCGCAAAAATTTGCGCAGATCCAGCTCTGTTACCGGTCCCTGCTGCCTGCAGCTGACTTGCTGTTGTTAACATAGTCATTTAAACTCATAAGAACCGCTCTCAATAGCAAACTCTATTCAACAGGTTCAGGTGAACACTAATCGCTTGTACACTCTACACCGCTCGAATGTACATTAGAGTGGTAAAAAAAATTGTCCGAGATGGGGTTGGGGCACTTTTCAAAATTTTTCCTCTTGCCGAAAGCGGTGCTGGCAACAAACTTTACGTTTCCAAGTATAAGTAGTACATACATAGTACTTATATATATTAACCAATCGATGCGGGTACTTAAGCGAACATAATTACTGATGTAGTTACATCTTCTTGTAAACTTACATAAATACTTGAATAACAACATTTAATGAAGTATACGTAGTTTAAAACCAAAATCGTACCATTATTTAAACACATAAATAAGTAGAGAAAAACTTTATTAAAAAAAATATTTAGTGCATGGTATGTCATTTTTACAAGAATTAAATTGTTCAAAAAGTCAAAGTTATTATGCACCAAATTCAAAATGATATTGTTTGCCACTAATGTTAATTTATTAATTTTTAATATTTTTCAATCAACTAAAATGCAGTATATTCCCTAACAAATGCCATATAAACCCAAGCTTAAGATTTTGTAGAACACTTAAAAAAAATGCATCATAATTTCAAACTATTTTTTAATAGAAGTATTTTTTTGAGTATACAGTTTTATAGCCCATTCAATTTTAGTGCAATAATGTGCAAGTTTCAAGTGGCTAAAAGTTACCGTTTATTTTTTAGAATTTTTTTACCGAAGGTGTGTAGCGCTGCTACTGAATTTCAAAATACGTAAATATTTTAAAGAATTTTAAAAGAGCACTTAAAAAGGGGAAAATTATAAGTAAAATTTTAAAGGGGGCATGAAAAATCGAGGTACTTAGGCGGGTTGGGTAAATAAGTGGGGAGGTATTTAAGAGAGGGATTTTCTTCAGATTATATTAAAAAATTCACGGTGTCCAAAAATATTGGTTACTTAAGCGAGGGGGGGGGGGGGGGTTGGGGGTACTTAAGCGGGTTTCACTGTATTACAAATACCAAAAGGAAAAAATACGTTTTCTACGATGACATGTTTCCCCCATACAAAATTTGGACCGTCTAATGTGCATACACTATGTAAGCATATCAAAATGTATTGTACACTACACCGACTAATAAAATAGATCCCAAAACAGTTTCCTGGCAATTCTATAAGCCCGGTTACCATTGAAGGATTTGATTTGGGTAAGAAATAAAATAATGTAAAATAAATTTAAAAAGAAAGTTTTTATTTAGCAAGGGCACTAAAATAAAAAAAATTAAATTAGTCAAAGCTTTTGTTAAGGTTAATAAGAGGTAAATAGAGAGTGCATTATACAAAACTTTATGCATTTATTAGTTCACCTCTATAAATAAAAATGACAGGTAAAAAATCTGGCACAGAGTTACTGCAATTAATGAAATAACATACATAACTTTCCCAGACTTGTTTGTTTTCTCACTTGTTGTTACTCCCATCGGGCATCTCTGGGGATGAATGGTGCACAAAGTTTACGAAAATTTACACAGTTGAACCCTGTGCCGGTATTGAATCCTATTATCGTTGAAAATTGATACTCGCTAACCCCAGAAATGTATCGTAATATCACTAATTCTGCCAAATTGTGACCTGATATATTTCGGTATTTTTTTTAAGTAGTCTTGTAAGAATAAAACGGCATAAATATTATTTTTAAAAAAGTTTTTAAATTTTACTGAGATAAAAAAAAAAATTAGCTATAGAAATGAAATATATGTATTTGTATTTACCATTTATTAGTAGAAAGTTCGGGGAAAAAAATTATTGAAATACATAAGTTTTCAATTGACCAAATTAGCGTAGGGTACTTAAGATTTGTAGAAACTGATCTCAATTTCTCACATGTATGAATGTATGAAAATATATGTATGTATGTTTTTTATTGATTGTTTATTTTTTGCCACTTTGTTTTGATTTTGAACTGTTTTCTATCCAGACACACGCATCTACATATATATCTGTTTATGCGAAATGCTAATAGAGTATAACATCTTAGTGACGATCTCACTGCGCGATCGAGAATTAACTCGGGAGAGAGAACATTCAATAATCGCTTCAATTTTCGCCTCTCGTAATTTTCACTTTTGGTCTGTAGGCGCTGTTGGCAGTGCATTTGTAAGTACCCAGTAGAAATCTTGTGCATACAACATCGATTTTGGTGGCATGAACTTGCAACTGTGTATGCATGCCAGTATAAATGACTTTCATTTCCTTTTTAATATTTTTATTGAGCTTTGTACCACGATTGTTTTATTTCCATTTAGCACCCCAGTAGAAATCGATTGGTGATGCATTCATTAAGTATGCATGCTGTATGAGTGAAAAAATGTGAACAACTCATGAGCGGCTATGAATTTCCAGAAATAAAGTCAAATTCTGGCGAACTGTATGCGAACGTAAGTACTTTGTTGTTGCTTTAAGTACATTTCTCTATAAATTTCACTACCATACAACATCACAAAATGTTTGCAATATTTTCGGTCTTTTGCAGAAATTTTAGTGAACACGTCCGGTAATATTTTCGGCACTAATAGGGCTTTTATATGATATGGATTTGCATATGTAAAAGCTACCGTTTTGTTTGTACTCGTATGTGCCATATATTAAAATGTATTAGAAAAGTAGAACTTACATATGGAAATATATGTATATCGTATTAGAATGCTTTAATACTGTTTCATTAATGCAGCATTAGTACTTTTGCATGCACTAATTACACTATGCGACAGTCAAAATCGGGATGGGATGAAACCAACGGGAAATTTTATATCGGTCAAAAACAAGTTATACGTGTCCCGGCGTTTCGCTGGGTCACGTCTAGGAATCGAGATATATATATAACTATCATATAGGGGAAATTGTCACCTTTGGTGGTCTTTTTTTGACATAACTCGAGAACCACTAGTCCGATTTTGCTCAAACAAATTTAAAAAAAATTAAAAATTACAATTCCTTTAATCTTGTTCATATAACGTTTTTCTATATAATCAACAGTTTTGCCGGTAAAAATAAATGTATAAAGAAAAAAAATATTTTTTGCCTAAAATATTAATTTTTTTTAAAACTGTTGATTATATAGAAAAACGTTATATGAACAGATTAAAGGAATTATAATTTTTAATTTTTTTTAAATTTATTTGAGCAAAATCGGACTAGTGGTTCTCGAGTTATGTCAAAAAAAGACCACCAAAGGTGACAATTTCCCCTATATGATAGTTATATATATATCTCGATTCCTAGAAGTGACCCAGCGAAACGCCGGGACACGTATAACTTCTTTTTTACCGATATAACTTTTCCCGGTAGTTTGAACCCTTCCCGATCACTGACCCCTACCATTTGTCTCACAGTATTATGTGTGTTTTTGTATGCCTGTATACAAGTGCTTTTACATACATACCTGCGGAAGAAAATTATCAATTGATAAAAAATAACCTACTTGTAGTTAACTTTTTTTCGGGGATTCTATAAAATATATATAACTTGCAGTTAGCAACAAAAAGCTAACTTGAAAAAAGTGGACAAGTAATGCAAAAGTAAGCTCGAGGTTGTTTTCTTTAAGCGCGGTTTTATTTAATTATCCTGCACTTCTCAAATACTATTTCGAATTGAGAACAAATAAAAGGAAGATCGAAATTTTATATTATTTATCATTTTAAAATTATGTCTGACGGAGTTCGAATATGGGACCACCTATTGATATTTTATTCCCAAAAGTAGTTAGTTACAAGTTAATTACCTCAAATGCAGAGGTAACCACCCTTGACTACATCTAATGCAGATACTTAATAAGTGACTTATAGCTCCTTCCTAATCAACTTAAAGTTAGCTTATAGTTAGATACATTTCCTGCAGGGATGTTTGAAACCTTAAGGCACGGTGCACATTAGTGCGATACGATATGCGATACGATATGGATGCGACATCGACATGCTGAGTACGTGGTAATTGGTAGGAAGCGATAAAAACTGTGCACACTTGCACGACAGCGACACCGATGCGATGGGATTGCAGGGAAAGCTACCAATTGTGAACCAGAATGCTACCAGTTTGCGTTTCAGCCCAACTAGTTCACGTTGTACCCTTTTTCAGTGTTATCGACTGGTATTTTTAACATGGCGGCGTCATAGGAGATGCCAATTGTCCGCTCCTGCATCAGCACGCTACCAGTAGCAATACTGGTGGCATCATACCAGTTGACGGGATAGACTGCCTATTCATCCCCCGTGAAAAGCATAAGTATGTCATTTTGCTCACGGCGCACAGTGTTTCGACTATATGGAGGCAGGTAGAAAAAAGTCATGGTGACAGTTGGTAAAAAATCCGGTTTGACTTAGAGAGGGAATAGTAAAAGTCATAAGTACCAAATTTTACATTTGGGGTGTTCACAGTTCGTTCCAAATTGTGTCTGAAAATGTAGACGTCTACATTTTGAGACATATTTAGCAACAAACTGTGAGCACCCCTTTCTAGCAGTCGTCGCAAAATCGTCTTAAAACTTTGCTGGTGTTTCCAGACATTTCTTCTTTGCGTGCTTTTTTATATGTCGCCTTTCGATTTTGTTTCTGAAAAATTTTAATCATTTAACTTAATTACCAATTCCTAATATTTGTTATTTCTTTTCCTTGATTTGTTTCTTTTCATCAGAAATTGCGCTCAAATTAAATGCAAATACAGAAAACGTGCCCAATGAATAAAAAAAATGCGATTAGTATTGCCATAATGCAGCAGGGTTGCAAAATGTAGACGCGTAAAAAACATACCTTTGAGTGTGACAAAATGTAGACGGCGTCGTTTTCCAATTTTGTATGGGAAACAACAACACCACAGATTTTACGGTTAGAAACCGTCTTAAAATGTAGACGTCTACACGAACGAACTGTGAACACCCCAATTATTTACTCACCCCCCTTCTTCATGAACGATACATTTCCAAAAAAATACGGGAATGGGCGCGATACCGACTAATCAGTTTAGTTGCATTTGGTGCTGAAACCATTACAGAAGGTGTTTCTT